AGCAAACGAGGCTTTGCTGGGACACCGGCAAAGGATTCCTCACTGGCGCTCCAGCAGGGCCACCTTCCAAGGTGGCCCATGGTGTCCCCGGGCATTCTTTCTCCTGCTCTCATCCGTGCTGACAAGAGGGCAAAGGGCAATGCGCCCTGTGTTCCAGCTCTCACCACAGTCACGTCCTCACAGTGACGCCCAAGCACAGACATCACACACATTCAGGGGGAAAAGCACAGACACCCAGGGCCTGAGAAGGGAGAAGCACAGGCACTGGACAGGGACATGTAGACACACACATCCCCTTGCGTGCGCGGGCACACACACACGCGCACACAGGTAGGGTTACTCTCAGATAGCTAGAGATCCGCAGGAAGCACACGCACTCGGAACACAGAGACAGAGCAGCACACACGCAGACACATGCACACACGTGACACCCTGCGCCCCGCACGCACCCTCTGACACACACAGCATGCTCTCCTCTCCTTTCTGTTCCTAGGAAGTAGAAGTAGTGGGCCTAGAAGTCAGACCTAGGGGTGTCTGCCCCCCACCTTCTCTCTTTTGGAGAGGTGCAGGCTGAGCAAACAGGATTGGGGCTCAGACTGGGTTCTCAGGACCCAAGCCAACCACCTGTGCCCAGGGGGACAGGCATGGCGAGAGGACCTACAGGCACCCTTCATCCGCTTATCCTTGGCGGGACAGAGGTCCTGACCACGAGTCCAGCTGCCCGCTGGGTTAGGGGGAGGGGCGGTGCCTTCCAGAACAGGCCCAGGGTGCCTCGGTGCTGCCAGGCTCTGTCCTCCCGCAGCTCCTCTTCACCTGGGAAAGCTCTCCCTTCTCAGGAGCCAGAAAATAAATTAGGCCCCTTGGGGTGGGGAGGGGGGACTTTGCAAACAGCTCTCCCTCCCCCTGAGACTCTGTGGCCCCGGGGAGATTTATTTCACCCAAATGATGCTAACCTGCCTACTCCAGGTGCCGCAAAATCCCAGCCCCCTCCCCGCCACCCACACGCCCTGCTCTGCAAAGCGAGGCCTCTCTCCTTGGGGCCCGCAGTTGGCAGGGATGCTGCCTGCCGTGTTCCCAGGGAGTGGGAGCTTGCTGGTTCAGGACTCGATTCCATTTTGGAAGCCGTAAATCCCTGTTTCTAGGATCTAGATCCCACTTGTGGATCTGGGCCCCTTTCTATAAGGGCCTCCTCCTTAGAAACTAGCACCCCCACATGCACGCTCCGGTAATAACTGAGCCCTCCTCTCTGGCATCTGGAGCCCTTGCCATAGGATTGAAGCGGCTCTCTCAAGGGGCTTTAAGTTCTATAGGGCCTGGGCCTCTGCCTATGGGATCTGGGGCTTCGTCTACCTCGGCCTCTATCCGAATCAGCTGATTTAGGCTTTTGTGTGAATTAGAAAAAGCCTCCCTCTATGAAGACCCAGTTCTGAGGGTGCATCTCTTGGCACATGGTGCCGTGTCCTTTTGCAGAAGGTGGCCCTTTGTGTCTCCCCATCTCAGGAAGGGAGCCTGGGCTGCTGTCAGCCTCAGCTCACTCCTGGGGTGGCTTCTTGGTGCCATGCACAGACCCCACCACTGTGCGTGTGTCAGTTCTGACTGCAGGATATGCGCCTCTAGCTCTGAGGCCTAAGCCTGCCTTTGGGCCTCTACTCACGGAGCCTGAGCTTCTCTAGGGATTGGTTCTCTGTGTGTAAGAGCTGGGCCACTGTCCACGTGCCTGGTACCTGATCTGAAGTCAACCTCTTTTTGTGGCATCTGGGTCATGGAAGGATCCAGGCTTCTATCAGTGAGGTCTAGGCCTCTGTTTATAACTGTGACTCAAATCTTGTCCTGACTGTGACCCATCACAGTGAGACATATATTTTATGATTGCAAAACAGTGAACACACACACACACACACACACACACACACACACACTTTCATATAAAACTGAAGCAAGAATTTTCATGAAACAATACTCATGACAGAGGATACATTCTGATATTTTTCTTCTGTTCTATTCTTAAAGAAAAAAACCGAATGCAGTAAACAGCTGGTTGAGGTCCATAAAATTGATTTCTGGATTTCACTACCCCAAGGGGTCACCAGCCAGTTGGAAACACCGGTGTGGGGGCCTGGGCGGCGATCGGCTCCTCTCGGCAGGTGGAGGGCTCGTCGAGGCTGAGGTCTCCCCACAGGCTGGTCCTCTCCCTCTCTCTAGGGCCTCAGGACTCCTGTCCTCTCCTGCAGCCTCTGCCTTCATTTCCCCCTGACCCTCAGGCTTGCTGACACACTGCTGGCTGCCATGTTCTCTCCAGGGGCACTGAGCTCAGGCCCCTGGGAGCTCTCCGAATGTGGTACCTCACCCCCTCCCCCTGGGGCTAGGAAAGCAGGGAGCAGAACAGGTCGGAGGCAGAGGGAGCGCTCAGGCTGTGTGGCCCAAGGGGCTCCTGGGACGCTGGGTGGCAACCACAGAGCTGAGCTGCGTTCAATAAATGATGGCGGCCAGGGCCTTGGGAGAAGGGGAGGCCAGGAGGGAAGGGGGGCATGGATAAATAATTCATTAAACAAATAAACAAGGAGCCTCTGAAAGGGAGGACGGGACACACGTGTGAGCGGGAGAAGCAGCTGCTAGCTCCAGACATGAAATATTCACAGATTCTGCACCTTGCACGGGCTCGCGTGTGACCCAGTCAGCGCAGGCAGGCGGCTGGTGTGGCCCCAACACGGAGACCCGGGTGTCAACAAGGAGGGCGATGCGTGGCTCTTCTGACATCCCAGTGTGCGTGTCGGCAGGGCTGCGTGGCGCTCTAATGTCCATGTGCTGACCTGGAACTGTGCACACGGCTGCAGGGAGCAGGGCGCTGTGAGGTGTGGCCGAGGACGCAGGTCCCGGTGGGTGGGGGCGCTCCGGGTGCAGTACCCTCCCATCCTAGTCATGCCCTGATCCCTCTAATGAGCCTGGCAAGCTGAGCCGCCTGAAGCGGGGAGGCATTTCGGGGTGTTTCACTGGAGGTGTGTGTGACTCCTCAGGAGAAGCTGAAGGGCAGGCAGGCTGGCTGAGCAGTTAACAGGATGGGCCTGGGTCCGAATCCCAGTTCTGCCACTCATTGGCTGTGCTCGTTCCTTCGCCCCTGTGAGCCTGCTTCCTCATCTCTCGAGTGGGGGTAATGAGACCCTACCTCGGGGAGCTGGTTGGTATGAGGATTTGGACCCTCGTCTGGGAAGCACTTAGCACAGCGCTTAGGACCCAGAGAGGTCTGATGCACGGAGGCCTCCTCGTTATTGCGAGGAGGTTATCTCCTGATGTCCGCCCACCCAGACTAGCCCCCGACTCTCGTTCCCATTTGTTCTCCCCTGTCACCCGGCTCTAACAGCTGTTGTGATGGGAGATGTGGCCTAGGGCTTGGGGAGTAGGGATGGGTGGGAAGAGATTAGATGGACTCAGGCAGAGGAGAAGTCAAGGCCCCAAACGGAAGTCCCCATCCTTGACAGTGTGGAAGAAGGGGTCCCCCACCTGGGAACCTCTCCTGAACCCCTAAAATTCTCCCTCGATCCAGACTCTCTTCTCTTCCCTGCCTCTAAAATTTCGCTTTCTAGCAAGTGGCCGTGAGGAGACAGGGAGTTGGGGTCGACGTCTCTGAGGATGGAGCCTGTCACCTCTCCTTGTTCCCCCTGCCACGCCTGTCTTCACTGCCAGAGCTCTAGACCCCACCCGCTGCCCAGCAGTCGAGGGCCTCCCTGGCAGAGATAGCTATGTGTAGGAAAAACCCAGAGAAATGACCTCCCGAGGGGTGGGGAGAACCCAGGCTGGAGAGAGCCACGGGGGGTCAGGGTGGAGGACCCCAGCCTCCCAGCAGGCCCCAGCATTCCCCAGCCCTCTCCTGTCCCCTGGAAAGAATCTGCTCCCTGCCTCCCTGCGGGAGAGAGCAGCAGACAGGTCTGAGCCGGCCTGCTCCTCCGCAGACAGAACAGGCTGGGGGAGGGGGCCGAGAACCTGGTGGGGAGTGGTGCCTGGAACCCCCGTGGCTCCTCTGGGGATCCAGGGGCACAGGGACTGTGGCCTGGGCACACTCTGCCATAGCCTGGGGGCCCAGCCCTTAGCCTCCCTTGGGAAGCCTGCTGCCACTTGGGGCACCAAGGGTCTGGGCCCCCAGGTGTGAAGATGGTGCCTGCCCACCCCCTTCCCAAAGAGCCAACATCGGTTCTCCAGCTCCCCTCCCCTGGGCTGGGCAGGTTCAGGCTAATCTGTGCAAGAGCCTCACAGCAAACATCGATCTGTAATAAAACCACAATGAGCGTTCAGGAGAAGGGATCCCAGACACAGAGAGATCCAGATAACACGTGGGCACACTCACACACACATGCACGGAGGCAAAACATACATACGGCTCTGGGAGGGAGGGCACCAGCCGCCCAAGCGTGAACCCACACTGAGTCAAACACACCCCCCCTCCTTGCCGTAAACTTTGTCCTTCAAAACCTAAGCCTTCTCCGTTGGCCTATTTCCCTGTGTCCCCATACCACTTTGTCCATGGCTCTATAATAGCATTTGCACTTGGCAGTATAATTATTTGTTGGCCAGTTTGTCTTCTTGAGTAATCCGGAGATTTCTTAAGGGAAGAGATCCTGTCTTATGCAAGTGTTATCTCAGCTCCTAGCATGGCCTGGTATTTAGCTAGTAGGAGTAGGTGAGGGGCTTAATAGGTAATTGTTGAATTGAGGAATGGAAGAATAAATGCCTCTGGACAGCGGGACAGGCCCCTCCCCCAGAGGCACAGAGAGGATACCAAGTGCATGTCCGTCCTGCCTCTGGCGCCCCTCTCCTCATCCCCGGTCCCCTGACCTGACGGCTTGTCAGCTTCCTCGAAGGCCTTCCTTTCCCTCTCTCTGCTCAGTGTGAGACCATGAATTTGAGTTCTGCCTGAGGGCTGGCTGGCAAGGTAAGGGTTAACGACACCTCATTAGGGCTTAATTGGAGGACAGAAGCTGCCCTGGCACCAGACAGGTGGGCAGGCCTGCCCCTCGCTGGAAGCAGGCGTCCCAGCTCCAGCACCCTGCCAGGCGTGTGGGTAATTTGGCCCTGGAGACCCTCAGCTCAGCCCAGGGCACCTCCCTGCACCGTTTGCTTTGCCAGTCGAGTCTCTAGGCAGTGCAGACGAGCCCTCCCCATCTGTCACCAAATCCAGAGGGGGAGGTCCATTTTTTATCTTTTCTCCTTTAGCTAGGCTGCCCGGCTCCCACCCTCCCACGCCAGGAGACGCTGGAGGCTGGGAAGCGGGGTGGGGTTTGGAATTGGACTGAGAGAGAGATTACGCTGAGGGATAGACTCGGGACACAGACAGCGACAGGGCTGGGGACGTGGAGATGTCTGCCCAATTTGACCTTAAATGAAGAGAATGCAAATGAGATGCAGACGATATGCTGATGAGCACAAGGATCTCGGAATTAACATTCTGGGCGGCTGCAGCTGGGCATCCAGGACCCCGAGGCTGCGAGGCTGCCGCCCGCACTCTCCTTCCAGCCTTCCTGGGTTAAGTGGCACTGACCATCATTTTGAGGGAGAAAAAGTACCCCAAGAAAGATGGTAGGGCTAGGGCTGCAGGAGCTGGGAGGCCTCCCCGCTTCCAACCCAAGTACCACATAAGCTGCCTCAGGAGGTCAAGCGCCTACCACTCTCCAGGTTACGCTCGGACGCACCGTCGGTTGCTATGGGGGCCCCCCTCTCCCTGTGCAGGCTTGAACCAATGAGTATCACAGCAGATGACCTCATGCCCCAGGTCCCCGGATTCTATTCTATTGGAAGCCAGAGTGCGCTTCTCCAACCGCGTCACCGCTGGGGATCCCCCGACGACCCCTCAGCGGACAGGGACAGGGACAGGGCCGACTGAAAGAAGGGTGTGCTAGGAGCTCACATTCGCTGAATGAATGACTAAGGAAAGGAAGGAAGGAATTAATGAAATGACGGGGAAAAAGGGAGGCGGCACGTAAAAAGACCCAGACCTCAGGGTTTCGCCTCGGGAGGAGTGGGCAGTTTGCAGCCCCGGAACGTCAGGGGCACGATCGGGTCGCAGAGATGTGGGCTCTCAGGCGAGTGGGTCAAAGACAGGGGAGTTCCCGCATCTGTCTGAGAGAGGCTAGGCAGGCCCAGCGATTTGAGGGCCCCACCCTCGGCCGTCTAGCGCCGCTGAGTTTAGGGGAGATCGGCGACGCCCCAAAACTTGCAGGCCTGCCCAAGCCTCCTGGGACCGCGCCCCGGAACATGCCTGGAGGACTTCCCATGAGTAGGTAGGGCCCTGTCGGGGAAGCCCGCCCCAGTGACTTCAGCCCATCTCGGCCCCAGCGGCGGACTTGGCCCTCTCTTTGAAGGGGGACGCGCCCCGGGACTGAATCAGCTGTCCGCGCGGGGCCCAGGCGGAGCGGAGAGTGAGGGTAGGGAGGGCCGGCTTGGCTTGAGGCCTGCGGCCGGCGGGCCCG